GACCAACGAACACCTGATGGAATGCGCAGCCGAGATGGTCGCCAGAGTTCAGCAGTTTGGTGTCGACTACAGACTAAGAGCACCGATCGACCTAACCGTCTGAAGGCCCCCTGCCACATTCCGGTATCTGAAGAAGATCCGGAAGTCGTGGTCCTAAAACCACTTACCTTGCAATTGATCCTGCAAAAACAACCACCACTACCATAATCAAGCACGCAGTAATCAACATTTACGCGCTCATCGTCATCACCCGCAACTTGTTCGAATGACCACTGCAGCATGCGTAATCCCTTTAGCTTTCATCATAGTCTAACTTGCATCTAATGTAGGCGATACCAGCTAGTTCAGACCGGTTTCAAGGAGTTCATCCCCAGTGCTAGGAATTCACATTATTTCGTCTTGCTTTGTCATACAGACCCCGCGAACGTTGCCTCCACCGGTTGAAATCGAAGCAACCTACTCTCCTCGACTTCCATCGAGTCTGGTAAGCATCAGAATCTGTTTACCACCGCAGCCGCTGCTTTTTACCCCACCTCTTTTGTGAAATACAACTACAAATCGAATTTTGTCCATTTTAGCCACCTAGCAAAGAACTAAAAGTCCTCGGGAAGGTTTCCAGCATCTTGTCTGGATGTGGTAAGAGCGTTGTTTGAAATTTCACAGCCATATTTGTTTGCCAAGGTTCAGTCTATCAGTATTTGTTTTTTTTTCATCGACCCTAAGACCAGTATTTCGAGGTGCGTGCTAAACGTTTACATTTTTATTTAGTCATCATCGAATCCCTTCCTAATCTACAAGCCTTGAACGAAGGCTCCGCCCTCTACCTCTCTGACAGAAGGCCACTTGGGGAAGTAAGTTTGAAAGTTAGTGTTTTTTGTTTGTTTGTAAAACCTGTCCAAAAAGTTAAAAATTATGGAATTTTCAGTTCCTATAGAATGAGACATCCAAAAGCGGACTTATTGGTGTTTCACGGCCACCCTGCCACTTTACCGTCATTGAACTTTGCGGTAATTTTTTGAGACATTCAGTTTACCAGACATCAGCTCTCAGTGCTCTGGCAGACCTGTCACTGCTGGTCCGCAACATGCTGTTTCACAGACAAATAATTTCATGCCAGAAGGGGCTTTGACTATTTCGCCACCAGCGTTCACTAAAGGTGATTCCAGTACCCACCACCTGTGGACATGTCGTGCAGGCGGTGGCTGGGCTAAGTGGCAGATTCCTTCTTCGGTACAGACTCGTGGTCGACGACGAACAATCTACAAATGGTGGTAACTTCTGTTGATGGATTTCTCGTCACTAGACTGACAGTTTTGAGTGCTCCTGGTTGGAAGGTATTTG